TGCCCCCATGCAGCTCAGCCTGGGATTTGCGCCCAGGGACTTCAACAGGGCTGCCTCGGGCTTCCCGTTGGTTTCTGCCAATTCCTCCTTTAATTCTGCCATCTCCCAACCTCAACATCCGCCAGGAGTTGCCACAATTGCCACCACTCTTATCTTTTCCCCAAGTTTTGGATCTGGTATTGGGGAGAACCAAGTTATTTTTCGTTGTTGTTTTTGCTTTTCCGGGGGAGTAGTATTTACATCACCAATCTGTATCTTCAACTGCCTTCTGGAGTCCACCTCTACGATCTTCACTCCCCTTCTCCTCCACCCCACAAGCCTGCCTCCAAGGTTGGCCGCCATGAAAAACTGAGGAGAGTTTATCCCGAGTTCCAGACCGTGCCTTGCATTTCGCTGGGAGGTACCGGTGGTGCACACTCCGCCTAGTTCAGGGACTCCCAACCGGGTCTCCCTAGCTCAGGGCTCCAGCCCTGGCGGAGGTTGGAAATTTCTTGCAGGCGCAGCCACTCCCGCCTGGCGAACGCCCGTGGAACTGCCACTGACGGCAGAGGGTCCGGCAGCAGCCGGCCAAACACCGCGGCCCCCGAGGTGGGGGACGCCTCCACCAGGCGCCCTCAACTCTCCCCGGCGCGGGGAAGGGTTGCCTTCCTGTCTCCGCTGCCCGCCGCCCGCTTCCCCGACCCCCGTCAAGCCCTGGGTCGAACCGAGGTCGGGCAGACCTACCTGGCTGTCCCGGGGACGCCGCGCTGGTGCGGGGGCCGGGAGCGGAGCGCCGCCAGGGTCCCGGGCTGGGAGTCCACGCGGCAGCGCTGCTCAGGGGAGCCTGCCGCAGCCGGCGGGAGGTTGTCATTGATTCGCGCTGGGCGAGTTAAGCCATTCCAGGAGTGGTTTTGAGAAAGCACTCCCACCCCTCCCTCCAACCAGAAGTATTTGGCAGGCGGCCCCTTCCGTCCACCTGTACTGTTAAGCGTGGGACAAGGACCAATTTCAGCAGTGGCGCTGTGTGCCTCACTCTATAACATGCAAAGTAAGCGCTTTCCTAAAGGTGAAGCAGAAATGAAAGCAAGGTGGGTGGAGGGTTTTTTCCCCCTGTCCCTTCTCCTGGGTCTCTCTGTTTGTTTGTTTGTTTTTCCACTCTAGTATTTCACAAAATGCCTTACCACCTATCTCAAAACAAGGGATAGCGTTGTATTATTATTATTATTAATTATTATTGCTTTATTCAATTCGGCATGCCTTTTATTTTTAGAGGCAATTTTATTTCCATTTGCCTGAAATCTGAACCCAGTACAATTACTAGAATATGTTTTCTCCTTAGCGGGTCGTAAGTGTAATTTAACCAAATCCAACATCTCACAGCAGCAAACATTCAAGCTGGCAACCAAAAGGGAGTAAGCACAGACAGGCAGCCCCCTCCCCTGGGCGGCCCAAGTGGGGTGCTGAGGTCTGAGGTCGGGGGCACCCACTGGCGCTTCTCCCTCATAGCAAACACCCACCACTCAGGCTCTCCTTTGCCTGTTCCATTTCTGACTGGCTCAGAGCTGCCAGCCAGAGACCCAGTAGTCCCTGGGGTGGGCAGCCACCAGTCACAGGGGCGTGAGCGCCTTCTCCCAAGCTGTTCCTTAAAGCCACACACCACGCCCTCAGCAGGGAGGCTCCTGCCACTGTCAGGCTTTCCCTGGAACTGTCCCTCACCTGGGACAAGCCGTCATTAACTCCTTGGCACCTTGGCTGTTCTTAGAAGCAGAGAAGGGGTGAGGGGGAAATCTTCGCTGGTGCCCTCTGTGTGCCAGGAGAGAACGGGCACAAAACAAAAGACCAGACAGACCATTCTCTGTGGCCTCTACCTGGTCTTCCATGGCAGGCTCCAGAGCACCCCAAAGCCAAGGTAAATGCTATAGGCACCTCAGCACATCAGGCCAAGGCCCAGGCTGGAATGAGAAGATGCTCAGATTAAAATATCTCCTCCTGGCCCTCCCTGGTGGTGCAACGGGTTAGGACGCAGCACTACAAGTTAGCAGCAGCTGCTTCAGTGCACCTGAGTTCAATCACCGGCCTGGAGGTGACCAGTAGTAGTAGTCCTCTCTGGACCCACCCGCTGCTCCCCTCAGCAATGTACTTCATTGATCTGCCTGTTCTGCTGATGAATCCTCTGTGTGCATAAGTAAATAAATCTTAAAAAAAAAAAAAAAAACCCTCCTCCAACAGGTGCCCCTGCCTGAAATCCCAGGGTTAGTGATTCATTCTTTGTGGGGCACACCCTGAGGAGAGCCTGCCCACGTTGCTTCAGGAAGGGGCCCTCTCTGAAACTGTAAATAGCCAGGTGAGTATCTTCAGGGTGAAGGAATCTCCACAGACTTTGTCAGGCCCCCCAAGCTATGGTGGGTGGGCTGCACAGGGTGTGAGGGGCAGAAAGGTCGGAGCCAGGCTGGTTGGGCCAGTGGGGGAGGGGTGCCATATCAGGGATTGGGGGCAAAGAAGGTCAGGGGCTTAACCAGGGCGGGTGGACTGTTTCCAAGGTTGGATGACTCCATAGCTTTTTATCAAAACCATGTACTCCCGGAACACCCAAACCAAAGAATGAAAAGTCAAATCCCTTTGTCCACAAAGTCACTAATTAAATATCCAATCAATCATAACTCCACACTCCACTCCCAAACCTGGCGGGTAGGTAAAGATGCCAACACATGACCTGGATGGAATCAGTACCAATCCAGAGTGTTTGTTGTGTGCCCATAGGGGTTTGCCTTAATGGCCTGGGTGGAGGCAGGGTGGGGAGAGTGGGGTGGGGTGCCACCCTCAGAGTCTCACATCTTGTGAGGAAAGGAAGCTCAGGGGTCAGTTCAGCACAGGGCAAGGTGGATACAGCACTATGGAGGTCACGAAGGAACAGGGTGCTAATTCTGCAGAGCAGACAGGGAACCAAGAGCAGTCGGGAAGATAAAGCTTATCTGGAGAAGGTTCTGGGAGGAGGTGGGGGCCTGGAAGTGAGCCCTGCTGTGAACACAAGGGCATGTGTGTTTGGAGGGGGTTGCTGGGGAGGACACAGTGGGAGGGGCCAGTTGGGCTGGCTTAGAGTTCCCTCAGTGGATAATGCATCAGGTTGGGGTCTACAGCCAGTATGTGGGTGCAGCTTCTGGCTGAAGGTAGCTTGCAGGGCAAGGCCTGTTTTGGAGGGGAGCAAAGATGGGGAGTTGGCATGCCTGCCACTTTCAAACCCAGCTGGAGCTGGATGTGGGCAGAGGGGATGGTCGAGAGGGAGGCTGCCAGGAGGGGTGGAGACCTGAGCCCAGCCTGTCCCCGGGAGAGGCCCCTGCCAGCAAGAAGAAGTATCTGAGTAGGCCAGTGGGTGGTGCCAGGGCTGAAGCTATCACAGCCAAGAGCCTGGGGGAGGGCTGGCCACCGTCCAGCCCACCGGCTGGGTCCTGCAGTGGACAGTGAATATCTTTCCTCTCTCCCCCTTAATTAGTGCGTGTGTGTATGTGTGTGCATGCATGTCTGCGTCCACACACAGCACTCCTGTGCATCCTGCTGGGACACACCCTACTGAATGGCTCTATGAAAATAGGGGGATCCCTGTCCCTCCCCTACTGTCCCTCGAGACTTCCCTCCCTGTTCTCAGTCTCTGTGCCAACTGCCTCTTGGGAACAGGAACATATAGGAATGTCAGAGGGGTAAGCCCGGGAGGCTCCCATAACCACAGAGCAGGGACGCTGGAGGCCTCGGAGCTGTCCTGCGCCTTCCCTTTCGGAATGGGTTCCTTCCTAGGCCCTTTGGGGCCCCTCCCTCTGCCAGCTCCCGCCCACCTCACCCCCTTCCTGGGTCAGGCTGGTTAGAGCACTTGGGAATACAGGCACTTTATCTTCCACATCTGCCTCCAAAGCCACAACCCACTTTTGCTCCAGGAGGATGAAAACTCCTACAAGCTGCTGCTGTCTTAACTTGCAACTTCAGCGGCGCTCACGTGTCATTTGCTGTGACACAGGCACACAAATGGCTTCTGTATGTGCACATTCACCACGCCTGTACACAACCGTATGGAGGAGATACCGGTTAGTCATCTCATCTAGGAATCATAAGAGTAATATCTACTTAATCCTTGCAACTGCACCAAGAGATAGATCTTATTACTTTCCCAATTTTACTGATGAGGAAACTGGAGCTCAGAGAGGTCTTATAATTTATTCAAGTTCACACAGCTGATATGTCGAAAAACTGAACATGACATCTGGTATTTAAGACTCCTTTACCCAAAATCTGCCCCTGGGGCTCAGCTCTGGATTTCTGTCTAGCTCCCACAATCAGATCCCCAAGGAACAGTCTGCTTTGCCACATGTGCTTCAGTTTCTTCACCTGCTGACCAGGCAGGGCAAGGACTCTCACTGAGCAGGGAGCCTCTTATTAGCCAGGAGGAGGCTGAGATGGGGCTGGGCTGCAGTACAGCGCCAGAGCAAGGTTTCTTGGAGAATGTACACAGCACCGGGGGAGTCTCCCTCGGGCCAGAGGCTCAGAGTGCCTTTGCTGCCTCCCCCTCTGTCCTGCCACCCCACCCCGTCAATGCACCCATCTGCAAGACCCTCCAGAATAGATGAGTGTCAACCTTTTCCCCGCCTGTCCCCCACACTCTCCTGGCCTTGGGCTGCTGTGTTACCTTCCCTCTTTGGGGGCTCTCCTAGCTGGTCCCCTGCCCCCAGTCTCATTCTCTCCTTCAGCCTAATGTCATAAGTAATCCTCTAAAACATGGATCTGGTCGTGTGTGTGTGTGTGTGTGTGTGTTTTTTTTTTTTAGAGATTTATTTATTTATTCATACAGAACTGGGGTACAAGCCAGAGATGCAGGGCAGTGAGAGGCTTCACCAGAGACAGAGTGGGGAGCAGAACAGGCAGATGGATGAAGTACACTGCTGAGGGGAGCAGCGGGCGGGTCAGGAGAGGTCTGCCACACCATGTGGTCACCTCCGGGGCAGGCGGGGATCGAACTCATGAGGAAGTGGCTTTCGATTCTCAGTGCTGTGCTTTAACCCGCTGCGCCACCAGGGAGGGCCTGGTCATGTTTTGGGGCACTTCAAATGCAATCCGAACTACTCATCAGAGCCTCTATGGCACTGTAAAATTCCTGCTTTTTGACTCTCCATGGTGGCACAATGGGTTAGGATGCAGCACTGCAATCGAGCCACAGCCACTTTGGTGTGAGTTCGATTCCTGGCCCAGGAGGTGACCCACATGGCACAGCAGACCTCTCCTGACCCGCCCACTGCTCCCCTCAGCAGTGTACTTCCTTGATCTGCCTGTCCTGCTCCCCACTCTGTCTCTGGTGAAGCTTCTCACTGCCCTGCATCTCGGGCTTGTACCCCAGTTCTGTGTGCATAAATAAATAAGTCTTTATAAAAAAAAAAATCCTGCTTTTCTCTTCCAACACGTCGCTGCCTTCCAGCCACATCTTTTAGACTCTGTCAGACACACCAAGTTCCTCTTTCTTCCTGAGGTGCAATTTTGCCTGTATGGATTGGGCCTGCCATGTTCTCCCCCCAATTCAGATCTTGGAGAAATGTCACCTCCTCAAAGAGACCTTCCTTGACCACCACAGATAAACTAGGAACCATCCCCCTACTCCCCACTTTACCTATTTCAGACCCTTGAGCAAAGCTCTCCTGCAAGCTGCATGCTTTAACTACAAGCTGAGGAGATATTGTTTGACTGTCCCCGCCTCTGGGACAAAGGCTGCCGTGGGCAGGGAGCTGTGCGTCTTTTTCATTGTGTGTGCCTAGTACACAGTAGGCCCTGGCAGACCTGTGGGGGATGAAGGTTTGCAGAGAGAACCCTAGATCCAGGAGGCAGTAGGACTAGAACTCTTGGGAGGTCACATACCCACCCAGAAAATCTTCCATCTTTGCCTTCTATAAATGGGGGCAGTGGATCAGCTGATAAACAAGAGCCCTTCCAGGCCAGTGTGCCATAGGCAGGTTGGCCTACATCCCCACGGAACGTGCCAAGTGCCCATAAACAAACAGGAAGAGACTCCCGGCCAAAGGCACCAGAGTCGGCTCTGGGACGACGCACTGCAGGGTGGCCCTGGTG